ATTCACCTGCGATATCCGGCGAGCCACCCATCTCCCGCCGGACGATAATAGCACGGCTGTAAGATGACCAAGTCGTCCTAATCTTCCCGCGCCGAGTGATTCCGGCAAATGGTTCCGCCAGCACGCGAAAGGCGCACTAGCATAATCCAAAGCGACGGATTAGAGAGTACGATTAATGACCTGAGAATCGGCGGGCCAGCTCGATCAATCATTGCTGACCCGACCGGCTGTCCGACACCGGTGCAATTAAGCTCTGGGACAATTACGCGCGCGAACGGCTCTATCCGCGTGGCTGAGGAGAGACAGAGAGAGAGAGAGAGAGAGAGAGAGAAAGTAAGTAAGTGAGACTTCTCTTTTCTCGATATAAATACAACGGAACAATCGCGCCAAGCGAGCGCATTTGAAACGAAATAATTGAAAGAAATGAAGAGCAATTCTACGACCAGATGAATAATCAATAAAATTTGTACCTGCGCGCGTACGCTATATTGTAAATATATTCTAATTAGACAATCTGCACTCTGGATTGCCATAGTTCCATACATTTTCTTGTATTATTAAACTCCACCCGGAAAAGTGTATGGAAAATTGCAAAAAAAATTTTTTTAATCTTAGACCATATAGAAGTACAACTGAAATTGCTATAAATTCGTTTGAAAATATTATACGCGCTTGACTATATACTACAAATGTGTTGTATATTTAATATGTATGCTTGAGCGGTTTGTACTTTGTATACCAAGTGGATTGTCACTTTTATTATTTTTTGCGCAATTTATACTGCAATTTCAGTATGGTCCAGCTTTACCAAAAACGTTGGAGAAAGAAATATAATGTTAACCTAGTTTTTACTGCAATATTTCCTCCGCGCGCACGCTGAGACAAATTATTCATGTTACGCAACGAGTATAACACTCGACTCGACGAGTGAAATCCGGAACTCCTTGTTCTGCGAGTTGCGATGAAATGGAAGTAGATCGAGAGATCCAGAGAGAGTATGTCTCTCCCGCGTGCAGTAAGGTAAAAGTAACCAATGACACTAATAACACTGGTGTCTAACTTTGGACAATGTCTTGGTCATTAAATATGAATATATAAATTTAATACAGAAAATATGAATATTTAATATAATATAATATTTAATATTTAATATAATATATAAATTTATTTAATATAAAATATTTAATTTAATATAAAATATAAATATAAATATTTAAATTAAATACAGAATATATAGTATATGTACGTATATTTGAATAGATACATAGATTTTACGTTGAAAACTTATCTCTATTTAAAAAACAAAACAATAAAAATGGTCCAGAATTAGGTAGCGTTGTCAGTGTCAATGTATTGGTACTTTATTTACTTTTATCCTACGTTTCGCCTTGCAGGCCGATATAACTAGCCGATATGAAACGGGTCCTTCGTCCTGCAGGAGAATGAGGATGAAAAGAAGGAAGAGGAGGTCCGTGCACACACGTTACACGACACTTTATAAAAGGTCGAAGCAGCTGTTCCGTTTAGTTTAATATCGACAGTGCGATACGGCACGATACAGAATGGCCGGTGTGTGGCGTGCGCGTTTCATTTTTGCACGGCGGTATAAATGCAATACGTCGACAGGCAGACGGCAGGACATAGGTACATAGATACACGTACACGACGGTGGCCGGTGTGCCGCCGCAATGAATCTCCCATCGAGTATTTCGCGGTGCGTATATACCGCGGAAACACCGTTTCCGACGATGCGGAACGGAAACGAACGCGGAATAGCGAATTCCAAGGAGAGCGCCGCGGGTATCCGAGCGACGCGAGTCCTGCACACACGCCGCGGTTCGAGTATCCCGGGACGATAGGAATCGCAAGGATGCAAATCCCGCTTGTCTTTTAGAGACACCGACTATTTCGACGATACTAAGCTAGAACAAAAGAGAAGGTGGAAAAGGGAGAGAGAGAAGGAAGGAGGAGGAGGAGTGAAAGAGAGAGGGAGAGGGAGAGGGAGAGAGAGAGAGAGAGCGAGAGAGAGAGAGAGAGAGCGGGGAGGGGGCAATCGCGAGCAGTCCAAATATTTATGTTCCGCTATGCCTTTGAACGAGACCTTTTGACGCTGGCAATTCGCATTATTGCGTATCCGCCGCGGTGCGCGAAGCGAGCGAATTCGCCCGGTATTCCGGGATCGGCGGGCGAAAGAATGATAACGTTGCCAGGTAATACGGATGTCGAATGCAGCGAGAGAGACGTCAAAAGGAGATACGTCCATAGTGCGTTTCTCGCGGCTTGTGAAGTCCTCCGCGAGGACTCTTTGTGAAAGAAGGTATGTCACGTATGTGTGTGTGTGTGTGTATGTATGTATATGCGTATGTTTGCGCGTGTGTATCTCGATCCTATGTTTTTCACTGGAATATAAAAATTTGCACTTAAACAAAACAGCGCGCGTAATTTCCGTTCTCCGCGAAAATAACGCCGGAAAATAACGAGTTGCAGAAAATTCCCGACGATGCTAAATTAGATTATAAACAACGGCGAACTATCGATCGGGGAGAGGGGGAGGGGGAAAAGGGGAGGGTAGCTACGTAGGGCGTGTTACGTAATTCCGACTAATAACGACCCAGAGAAGACGGCGCCGAGATTCAATTATCGTTTCCGTCGTCGCGCGCGCGTTAAAGCGAAAAGGAAATTATTAAATTTTATGCACTTCCCGTGTCGCGATATTGTGTCCGCCTGGGGCGCACAAGAAATTCCCGTCACACAGGGATGGCTTTGCGGAGGGGCAGGGGAGCGGCACGCTAACGAAGAATTTCCTTGCCGGCCGAGTTATCGGCTTATTCGTTCGAATTTATTCGCGACGTAATGCATAACCGGAGGCGCCGTGTTTTATTTTACGCGGGTGTGACGCATGAGGCCATTTGCAAATGAAGCCGCTCGGGCGGAGAGAATGCACTTCGATGTATTTTTAATGAAGTCGGCTCCGGACTCGCGCGAGAGCAGCTGTATATGTATGTATATGTATATATATATACATATATATATATATATATATATATACATATACACATATACATATACTATATTACCATCCGCGAGGCCAGCCGCGCGCGCTCGCGCGCGGAGTAAAATTAAAGTTCCCGAATAGCGGATTGTTTTAATTAGTATTGCATACGCGCCGAAAATAACGGCGACGCTCTATGGCAATGAATATTAATGACGTGCTTAAAAAAAATGCGCGTCCCATAAGCGATTATGTTAATATGTATGAGATTTTAATAACGCGAAGCGCGCAGGCAATCAGCGTGCTAAGCGCGAACATTGAAAAACGTGTGCACGTAACACTGTTCTTGACGAACTTAAAGTACGCATATTCTGCAAGCTAATACATTAAGACAATAAGCTTAAAACACGCCCAACGTTAGACTCTCTGTCCTTCTGTTCCCCCCTCTCTCTCTCTCTCTCTCTCTCTCTCTCTCGCGACGAGAATAGCCGTAATATTCATAAAAGCGGCGAACCGGATGAAACTCGCGTCGCGAGACAGCCTTATGATTGTAAAAGCCAAGTGTCGCGCAGAATAGATACATCTATTAATAATTCTAATGTTTAACAATCCAAGTAAAAGCATCTTCACAGTGGTAATCCGACAGCGAACGCCGGTTCGTGCGTTCCCTCAGATGGACAAGAATCGCGTTGCAGAAGATTTGGAATATGAAAGCGGCATGCGGCTTAAAGCATTTATATATGTATATCTCGAGAGGAAAGTGAAGTATTTTCGTCTTCATTGATAAATTACATATTCGTGATGAAATAATCCTAGTAAAAAATAAGTAAATCAACGCATGTGAAATTAATAATTAACTTATAGTGGCAAAGAATAGAAAGGACAATTTAGGTAAAAATACCAATTCTCGGGCACATGCCTAATCTTAGACATTCTTATTGTTCTAGTCTTCAAATACAAATATATGAAATTTCAACATTAAATATATATGCATATATTCCTATATACATCGCATAGTACTAAAATATGTCTCCAAAATATTCAAAAGACCATTTCTATTTCTTACAGACGTCTTTAAAATACCTAGCAGTTTGTGCTGTCTCTGGATTGGATATATGTATTCTATATATTCTATATTGAAAATTTAAATATTTGCATTTAAAGACCAAAATAATATATAAGAATGTCCAGAACTAAGCAATTGTCTGGGCATTTTTTTTGTGCTTTTACCTTTGTTCATTTCAATATCTCGCATTGCGCGTTTATGTTTTCCTCTTTTGATTCCCAGAAACACTCAGCGAATTAGAGGAAGGAAAGAAATCGGAAAAAGACTGTCCCGATTGATAGCTTCTCGAGTATGAAAGGTGCCTCTTTGTTCTCAATCGCGCCTAGTCTCCTCTTCCTCTTCCTCTTGCTGTCTCTTTTCAATATCCTAGTGCAGTATTCGCGATAATTACGCGGTAACAAGTTGTCTGTTAATGACCAATTCGCGGCGACGACAAAGGTATTCGACGTGCGCTACTTGATCGATTTCGATACGGGGAATTCTATTACAGCGCGGTAATTACTTCCTTGCCAAACTTCGGAATTGGAACGTAGGGTGCCGAGGAGAATGAGCCGAAGCGATAACGATCCAATTTAGGGACCTCGAACGTGAAACTATCTTCTTGCGACGCTCTTTATGCTCATATTGCCGTATAGAAGGTACTATCTGCTTGTCGTCGCGATAATAATTTTACAATAAGCGATTAATAAAGATAAACAAACGAAGCGAGAGTTTTGAACAACGCCGTGAGTAAATAGAATTCCCATTAAACGACCATCATTCAAGAAGCACGCAAAACGTCAAGCAAATCACAGAGAGAGAGAGAGAGAGAGAGAGAGAGAGAGAGAGAGAGAGAGAGAGAGAGAGAGCATTTTACAAAATAAATCATATAACGACGAATTATATTGCTTCCTGTTTGTGTGTTGCACGTAATTAATTGAAAGAAGAAAATACATGAAAAGATATGTAAAAGCTTTGCCGTGCATCATTTATTCACTCATATCTCATACGATTTACAGATCAGTGTTAGATGTTGTAGTCTTTCAAAATATTAGCGAGTGTAGTCTTCTTCTCGTTGATCTCCTGGCAAATTTCGTGCCATGGACCGTAGGTGAAATTTACTATCTCTTCGGCACGGTCGAGATACCGTCGCGTTTTCTTCAAGATATTTCTGCAACGAAATATAATCGCATCGAATATCAAAAAAAAAAAGAAATCCGCGCAATGACGAATACAAGATACTCACTTGTACCACTTTGTTGTTTTATTAGGCTCATCCTGTAAGTATCTAATACATATGTCCGTTAATTTGTTTAATTCGTTGGCGACTTCTATACTCGAAGAGCCGTATCGTTCCTCGATCGCAGCGATACTGTGCTCTATGTACGAAATAGATTCGAGCCATCGTCCTAAAGCCAAAGAGCGATAAGTTCAATGTGTGTGTGTGTGTGTGTGTGTGTGTGTGTGTGTGTGTGTGTGTGTGTGTTATATATTTGGCGTGTCTCACGCACGAGAAAATACAAGATTATCGATCATACGAACCCATAATGGCGTATACTTTGCCTAGTATATCCAAGGTGGCAGTGATATCCTGATGATACTTGTATAACAAGTTTCTCCTAATGCTCAAACATTCTTTCAATTTCATCACCGCTTCCTCCTCGCGCTCGAGCTCGATATAAATTTGCGCCGCGTCGAAGGCGGTTACAGCATTCTTCAGCTCTATTTGACAATTAATGAAGGGCGTCGCTCCGCAGTCTAAGCAGTGCATGGAATAGGAGTGAAACTCCTCCAACGCACCGTCGCATTCTGGGCACTTGATCGCATGAAATCTATCCTGTGTGAACAAAACTTGCGGACATTCACTTAAATACTTCAAGAGCGCGGCCGTCGTGACTCGAGCAGGTAGGAACGACAGTTTACCATGAAATTCTCGTACTCCGGCATAACGCACGGCTCGCATCTGCATGTGAAGCCGTACTGGTTCTTCAGGATCTCTTGTCTGTGCTCTTTCGACATTCTCCTGAAGTTAGGCCCTGTCGCAATAAGTCGAAAATGAGAAAGACCTAACGAACTATGAATGAAGTGAAATCTACATTTAACACGTTGATCATCACACTGATTCACGTACGAGTTCCACCGGGTCTAAATTTTCGGTGTGTTGCTTTAATAATACTTTATTGAGCAAATTTGTATGGCTGATAATTTCTATTTTCTATTTAATATCTTCTTTCCTCTTATGTTATCTATTTTTTTACTTTAAATTTAATTTCTTCCAAATTTAAATTTTGTCTTGTTTTCTACTTGATATCTTTTTTTTAAGATTAGATTTCTTTTAAGTACTAGTGGTGAACTAATTTCTAATTGAATTAAAACAGTCATCTAAGAATGAGTAACAAGATCTCTACGGAAACTCACACGTCACCCAGATATGAGTGATGCGGCGCTCAACGTGTTAATTTAGAATTCTGAGATCTTTTGCCGTACCATAACAATTGAAGACCTCTTCACCCGCCGCGATATCCTTCATGGCTCTCACTATTAAATATTGGTCCACGAAGCTGAGGGATAATAGCGTTAACGTCAATTAACGAGCGAGTGCCCGTCTTACGGTGTATACGCAATGAGTGGGTCTTAGTCTTTTATATATTTTTTTCACGTAATCTAAGGGTCTATATATTACCTAGTAATTATATTAGGATCACAAGAATGATTCATCATGCTCGCAGAAGGATAAATCGCTGTAGCTATTCTATCTTGTTGCTCGACACAGAGCTTATCTTTATCTGATGCTATCTTGTTTAGCTTTGTGATAGCATGCCCGTTACAAATAAGCTGTAAAACGTGCCTCAGTAGTAGAGAACTTACATATACTTGTTCATCGCTCTCTGACGCGAGATCATTGTTGAAGTTGAAAGTGTTGTCGGTAAACTTCGACACTAGATGTTCTCTGACATTGAAAACTTTAAAATAATCTGTGTACTTTGTTAGATACAGTGTGAGCATAGTTGCCGTCTGAAAGAAATCATAAAGGGGTACCGAGGTGAAGCCTGAAAAGTCCTAATGAGATTCTACATGCGCGCTATCGTATCTCGCAACGTGTCTCCTCTCTTTTTTTTTTTTATTATTGTTATTATCATCATCATCATCTGCCATCTGCCCGCCCACGCGCGCGTAAATAATGCCACTCACGATTCCATATACAATAAGGTCGTTCGCCGAGAGATTATCGAAACCAGTCACTAGCTGCTGTATGCTGTTAAACATATTACTGTCGGTCGTCGTCGTGCACTTGAGCAACGTCTTTAAGGCCAAGTGCGCCACTCCTATCTGCTGCCAGAGACTCATCTGATTGCCCGCGCACTCCCAGCGATGATAAGACGAGTACGCCTTGTTCCAACAGTTTGCGTCGCAAAACAAAGTGTCAAGGCATCCTGAACACCTGCGACACGTACACAAACGTTTTGCACATAGTAGTATTACATGCTACGGCTAACCTTACGTTACGCTTGTAAGTCAGCTTCGCGGCTTTCGAAGTGAATCGAAATACGCCACGAAACCGGTGGGGGACTCACGGTGTGGGATTTTTGCCGTACGAGCGGCAACAATTCTCACATAAGTCACTCATTCCCTCACACTCCAGTATCACGAAACTGAAGGGCTTCTCGACGAAGAGAGTCTGGCCTCTCTTGACATCTCTATTAGCTACTATGTGTCGGCCCTTTTGCGGCGTGTATTTAATGTCTACGGCCGTCGACGCGGACGACAAATTCGGGTTTTCGCCGCACGAAATTTCGGGTAGTAAGTGAGTTTCTGTGGTATCCGTGGTATCTGTGACATCGTCGCTCGTGTCCACCATGCACGATACGGAGGACGATAATTGGTCTAGCTGCTTCTCTAAAGCCTCTAAAAGAAGTTAATTGATTTGTCATTATGTCAAGTATTACGTCCGCTTGAAACGCTTCTTTCCTTGTTCTCTCTCGCTTTCTCTCTCTCTCTCTCTCTCTCTCTCTCTCTCTCTCTCTCTCTCT